AAGACTCATCGACTTCCAACAATCAGCCGGTACGGGCAGGCTCTGTAGTGGAGCCGAAGAGTGCCCTGCGGGTTTGACCCGCTGACATGTTTCACATGTCTTGACGTATCGGGCGACCCACTTGTACATGTGGGTCCACCAGAAGGACTGAGAGACCGACAGAAAGGTCTTCTCGCGGCCCAAGTGGCCGCTGGAGGGCGCGTCATGCGCCTCCGCGAGGATTTCGAACTTCAGCTCCTCGTCGTTGGGTACGACCACCCGTGGAGGATCAGTGGGCTCCACCCGATAATAGAGGAGGCCCTCCTTCAACTCATATCGGTGGAGCCGTGAGCGCTGTCGCGACGAGAGCCAGTCGGACTTCGCGCTCGTTCCGGCCTTAAGGAACTTGACGATAGGCGCGACAGCCTCATCGTCCCGATACGCCATGCGTATCCCATCATATAGATCCGTTGTCACCCGCGTGATGTGGGCCAACTCATAGTCGGGACGCCGAGAGAGGGCGTCCGCAAGCACGTTGAGCTTGCCCGGCTTGTATTCGACGCGGAAGTTGTATTCCGCGAAGAAGGACAGCCACCTCGCCATTCTTTGGGAGAGGTGAGGCGAGTTAGTCGCCGTCCTCAAGGACGGGTGGTCTGTGTAGATCACAAAGGGCCTAGAGCCCAGAAGGTGAACACGGAACTTCACAAGGGCATATTTCATTGCCAGGAGCTCCTTGTCATGGACAGGGTAGTTCCGCTCGGCGGCTTTGAGCTGCCGGGACTGGAACGAGATGACTCGTTCCTGTCCAGCCGTGTCGTCCTGCAGCAATGCACACCCGATGGCGTAATCGGAGGCATCGCAGACGACGCTAAACGGCTTCGTCTCGTCCGGCAGGGCCAGGACAGGGGCCTCTTGGAGACTGGCCTTGATGCTGTCAAAAGCATCCTGGTGCTCTTGCTCCCAGCGCCAGTCGACGTCCTTCTGAAGGAGGCCCGACAAGGGCTTAGCGAAGCCCGCGTTCCCTGCACTGTACTTGTGAAGGTAGTTGGCCAAGCCCAACCACTTTCGAAGATCCTTCTGGGATCGGGGCGTCGGCCATGCTGCTATGGCCATGACCTTGTCTGGGTCAGCCCGAACGTCCACGTTGCTTACGAAGCAACCGAGAACTTTAATCTCTGGTGACGCGAAAACGCACTTGTCGATGTTGGCGTAGAGCTTGTTCGCGCGCATCACGTCCAACACTCGACGGAGGTGTCCTAGATGCACCTCCATGGCCGTCTTGCCTCCCTCGGCACGGCTATGGACGAAAATGTCGTCAAAGTACGTCTGTACGAAGGTACGCAAAGGGCGGAACAATTGCGTCATCAGGCGATTGAACGTCGCCGAGGCGTTAGACAAGCCCTGCGGCATGACGAGCCACTCCCAAAGCATGCCGCTTGGAGTGCTTTCCGCGGTGAGCGGGATGTCACTCTCTCGCATCAGGATTTGGTAGTATCCGTCTACCAAATCCAGCGCACTGTACAGTACGCTCCCGGCCATGTTGTTCAACAACACATCCTTTCGTGGGATCGGTGTTTGGGCCGGCACCGTTGCGTTGTTCAGCTTGTTATAAGCGTGAACCAGACGCCACTTTCCGTTCGGCTTCCGAACGCAGAAAGTCGGCGTCGAGTGCGGGGATTTCGACTCCCGCACCATGCCTGCCTTCGCTTTCGCGGCGAAGAAGGCATCAATGACCTCGCACTGTTCGCGCGGGAGAGGCCATTGCCTCGTGACACAATACTTTGTGATCAATCGCATGCCGTACTCCTCGATCCGGTGGGAGCTGGGTCGGTGGGTGTTTGCTCACCACGTCCGCATACTCCGTAGCCAAAGGATACACCGGATCCTTGGGGTTCTTGAGAATCTCAGAACCCAAGCGCGCCTGACGCTGCTTGTTTAGGTCTTTAAGGACGTTCTCGTCCAAGACAGAGGACCTCCCGAGTGGTCGCAGGTCTCATGAGCACCATCTCAGCAATCTCTCCAGCTTTGAGGTTGGCCAGGAAAGACTCGACCGGCATTTCCTCGAGGTTCAGTATCTCCGCAACCTCTGGCAACGGTTCCAAGTGGACACCAGATGCCTTGACGGGTAAACCTGTCTCGCCATCGAAGATGTGATAACACTCTTCCACCGGCCTTGTCGGAGGAGCCCGGGCCCTGGACTCCGAGTCGCTTGAAGCGACGTCGATCGGAACGAAGTTCGGATCCGACTTGAGGCGGCGGCGGTGTCTTTGCCGACGGCATCTGTGACGGGGAGCTTTGCTGCCCACGTCTAGGGATGTCGTCGCTACGACATCCGAGGCACTCGTGGCCTCGTGTGATACTGTTGTACCCACACAGGAAGCGTGTTCAACGCCTTCCTCTTCAGTTAAGGTCTGGGCGACCGCGTGTGGCACTGTGTTACCCACACAGGAAGCGTGTTCAAAGCCTTCCTCTTCAGTTAAGGTCTGGGCGACCGCGTGTGGCACTGTGTTATCCACACAGGAAGCGTATCCGACGTCTTCCTCTTCAGTTAAGGTCTGGGCGACCGTGAGTGGAACTCTGTTACCCACTCTGAACACGCTGTTCTCAGTGTTCATGACAGCTGCAGCTGTCTGCGGAACTAAGTTACCCGCCTGTGGACCTAAGTTACCCACTTGGCCGACGCCTCTTCTGGGCGCGGCCACCATCAAAACATCCTTGGAGTCGTCATATACGTCGACGACTCCCAAGCATCTGCCGGATGCTTTGGTACCCTGGCAGCCCTCGCGGGTGCCCCGGGTCCTGACAGAGGTGGGAACATGACTCACCAATGCTCTGTCGGACTGCGCAGGGCGGCTGGCACCGATTGACTTACCTCGCCAGTCGATCCAGGGCTCGTGCTTCTCAAGCCAGATCATGCCCAGGATCATATCATATGGATCCGTATCAAGAACAGTGAACTGTTCGAGGCTGTCAAAGTCCTCAAACTTGACAGCCAGATCCACTTGGACGTTGGGGACAGTGACGACCTTCCCGTCGGCCAGTCGCACTGACACCGTTCCGTTGCCCTTGCTTTCTCTCAAAGCTTCGGACACCTTGTTGCTGTTACGAGCAACCGTCTGGCGGCGTGCGAAATTCTTCGACGCCCCAGAGTCAATCAAGATTCTAAAGGGATGATCGTATCCCCGTACACATCCGTGTACTACGAGCAACTCGCCGCTGCTCTTCGCCGATTCGAGAGTGCGAAGACTCTCAGGGGCTAAGTCCCCGTGGTACGCGCCACCCGCGCACCCATCACGAAGACTTAGCCCTTCCCCAGTAGGGCGCCCCGCCCCTACTGGTTCCCTGCGTTCCCCTGTCCCCGGGATCCTGGCTTCTGCCAGCGACCCTTGAGGACGGGCTTTGGGAAGGACCGTCTGCGGAGTCTTTCCGCGGGACAGTCGCGCTTGAAGTGGCCCATCTTCCCACAGCCGAAGCAGCGGATGTCACGCTGTTCGGCGGACCCGGGTTCCATGGGAACTGGTCCGTTGGGGCTTGTTCGACCGGGAGCCGACAAGGAGCTCCCAGGCCACGCTGAGGCCGGCGTACGCGCCTGGCGATGGCTGTACTCTTCTTGAAGAGTCGCTTGAATCGCCTCTTCAAGGGTACTTGCCTGCACCCGGAACAGCTGAGTGCGTGCGGGGCCCACTCGAAGGCCGTCCATGAACACAGTCATCTTGATGTGTTCATTGAGTGGGTTTCCCACTAGGGACTCCGTGAGCTCCCGTATCTCTTGCACATACTCGTGCAGTTCGCGCCTTCCTTGTTTACACGCGAGGAAGCGCGAACGCTGGCGGTACTCGTAGTTCGCCGGGAGGAACGCGGCTCGGAGCTGTTCGCACAGCTGAGCCCAGGATGTGAAACATCCAGGGGATGTTGCTTCCCGAGTGTACACCCAACTCTTAGCACGGCCGCTAAGGTTGGAGAGTGCAAAAGCAACACGCAATTGCTCGGTCGAGATCAGATCCGCGTCCATCGCGAGCTCTACTTCTCGGACCCAGAAGTGAAGGTTCTCGCCTTCCTTCCCTTCATACGGCTTTGCCTTCAGCCGTATTGGCTTCGGGTGAGGCGGATTTGCTTCTGCCGCCGGAGCCTGCAGATTCTCCCGCACATGCGCGATGAGGCCCTGCTCGTACGCGTCGAACGCATTGACGCGTTCGAGCTGCTCAGCCGGTGTTGACACCACCAGGCTCTGCAGGGCCTCCATCCCGAAGATGCCTGCCATCTTCCGAACCGACTCGAACTGAGAGTCGTTCAAATGGGAGAAGTCGTTCCTATCCATGGCAACGAACTTCGGAGGTTCAGGTAGTCTACCCGCGATGGCGTGGATTGACTACAAGTGCTACCAAGTGTGACGGGGTCACACAGCACCTTGCGCAAGAGGAAGTTATCTTCCGAGAGTATACAAACTCTCAGTGAACGGCAGTTCACAGGTCCCCTCTTTTGTTAAAGAGAGCGAAGTGACCCAAATAACGTAGATTGTAAACTGAGTATATTTATAGGTAGATTAAGTTTGGGTTTAATACAAACTGTTAGTTACCTATAGAAATGCAATGTCATTTAACCAATGGTTGGCTTTGAACGACCTTGGTTCCTTGTCCCAAATATCTCGGAGTATGACGTGTCATACTCCTGAAGTGTGAAGTGTCACACCTCATGTAACCAGGGTACACTTAGGGCTACGTACCCCGTTACATCTTACCATCGCAGGAGGAATATGGAGTACAACCGCGTACGCGACCGTGTGGCACTGCTCGCTGGCGGTCTGGCACTGGTACACTCTGGTACCTCACACCGGTACGTGCCGACAGCAGGGCTCAGTCCCCTACTGACGTGGATGCCGCTATGCTAGACACAAGCCATAAGTTGACAAGATATTTTTCGTTGCATAGGGTCAGCCACCTACAAGACCTTTCGTTAAGTGCGTGATTTGGAAATGTTAGAAATAATAATTTAGGCCAATCACCATTTGGAGTTTCTGTTGTGCTCAAATTCGCACAAAAGATGGCGGCAGTCGAGTACGTTGTTGTCTGCTTTGCGTGAGCATATCTACGCCTGTAGCCATCGGTTGTTGCTATCGTTGCGATGATCAAGATGCGATGTATCATGTGCTTTATATGCGACCTCGTTTTCTTCTATTCTTTGCGAATTGAGGTCGTAGGAGCATATTGTACAAGAACATTTCTGAACTGACTGACTTCGTGTTGTTTGACACCAGAGAATGCGTCGTCGTCATTGATGGGGCGAACGTAGCGTGTCAAAAAGATGGCAAGGTTCATATCCCCAAGCTAGCAGCCGCTATCAAGTACTTTCGCTCGTTGGAGCTCGCAGCAGGACGATATCCCGTCAACTGCGTGGCATTCGCGCCCAACTTCTGGCTCAACGTTAAGCCTTCACCTGGTAGTGCTGGTCCCAAAGAGAACGGGACAATGGAGACAGACGACTGGGCACTACTAAACCAGTTAGTGCACCAAGATCACGTGATCCTGACGCCGTCCCAGGCTCACGACGACTTCTACGTCATCGACTACGCCGTCAAGTACAATGGCTTCATCGTCACGAACGACATGTTCCGAGACCACGTATCGAACAAGGTGACAAGTTTTTTTATGTGAATGCTGTGTACTCACCACTTGTATACTGATATGTGAACATGATCGTTTTCAATTAAAGAGAATTTTTCACGGCAAGAGATTAACGAGCAATTGGGTGCGTTCGCACTGCATCGACTTCACGTTCGTAGGGACGGAATTTATGCCCAATCCCCGTACAATGGAGCGCGTAGTTCACTTCCAGCCTTCTGCAACGTCTGCTGTGACTACATCGAGTCTGCATGATAGCAATGACAATGATGTAGAGGCTGAGAGCGATGACGTCCAAGAGGACGGGATGGTAGTCGACCATAAAGGCACGAAGCGCAGCAAGACCATCGATCTCTCGGAAGTGACGTACTATAAAGTGCCACGTGAACTGCTGCCGATGCTGCACGGGGAAGGCGGCGAGACGATGGGCAAGTTTCAGGAGTACACAGGTACCTACATCGTCCTCCCGTCGCACGCGGCATCAGCAGCTCCCTCGACGTCGAATGTACTGACATTGTCTATCTATGGGTGAGTCCACTACGAGCATGTGAGAGATTATCCTACTAATTTTTTCTGGTTTTTGATAGACCGGAGCCAAGTAGACTGCAGGCTGTGGGCCACTTGGACGCTTTTCTTGTCCAGATGCAGCAACAATACGCTTACCAACACCAACAGCAGTACATGGCCAGCCAAGTTCATCAAGCAGGGATGTACCCACACCAGCACCAGCCAAGCACCGGTACCCAAGACGACCAAATGATGGAGATCGATCCCTACTAGACTGTGAGCCTCTAAATTATTTCCATCCGCGCTTGTAGCTGTCATTTTCAGCCTCTCCAAACTTTTTCTCGTCCTGTTTAAAACAAAAAAAAACATTAGAGCTGTTTTAAACATGTTTTAAAACTACTTCCGTCCCACGTACTCGTGTTTCTTCTTTCCAGCCTTGAGCGTCCATCTCCTTCCTCCGCTTGCCCCCTTTCTGGAACGACCGCCAGTTGCCCACACGAGACTCTCTGCGATCCGTTTCCGCCCACGAGCGTTCGCGTTTAAACATATTGGCAACTTTCGTGTGCTCTTTCTCCTCCTGCTCCGCCTCTCGCCGTCGCTGAGCTGCTTCGCGTTTCTCGATGTTTTGGCGACGGTTCTCGATCTCTGCGAACGCACGCATCACCGCCTTCTCCACGGCTTCTTTCAAGTCGCCAAGGTCGCTCTCTTTAGCGCCCTTTTTGAGCTTCTGACGACGCTCCTTCTCAACCTCCTGCGTGGCCTTCTCGATCGTGCGAATGAACATCTTGCGACGATCTTCTTGGGTGATGACATTGTACGCCTTTGTCACCTCTAAAAAAACAGCATTAAAACATGATTTAAACACCACTAAGAAACTACATACAACAACGCACCTTCGAAAGCCTCGCGAGCCTTGGGATTGCGACACTTATCCGGATGTACCATCGTGGATATCTACAGTCAATTGACAAGCGTTATACACCTGTATAACAGCGTCAATTTATGACCTCTTACCTTGCGGTAATGCTGCTTCATGTTCTCTTCTGTGGCGTCGGTATCGAGCATCAGAACTCGATATGGGTTCAAGTTGATCCACTTGAAATGAGGCTGCAATAGTCTCTCTATCTGCGCGTCAGATGAGCCAAAATCCACCGGCGGCTTCTCGTTCTCCTCCTTTTTGATGCAATTGGCGTTCTCCTCCAGCTCCTGCACCTCCGACATGAACTCAGCCAGCAACATCTCCTCGTCTTTCGGTTCGTTCTTCTTCTCTTGTTCTCGTCTTTCTCTCTCTTCCTTTATCACTCTTTCCTGCTCTTTCGCTTGTTCTTTCAGGCGCTTACTGTGCTCCTGTCCAGCAGCATAAGCCTCTTCTGAAGCCTGTAGCAGCGACGTATTGTCCGGCTCCAGCTTGAGTCCTGCATTATACGTAGCGCGGGCTGCGTCGAAGCGCAGGAGCGCATGCTCGGCTGCGCCCTTGCGGCTGTAGCCTTTCCACCAATCAGGCTTGAGTTCGATACACTTCTCCGCGTCCTTGAGTGCCTTGCCTCGGGCATCTCCCATGGCCAAATACGCGGCTGAACGGTTGCTATAGTACACGGCATTTTCCGGGTCCAGCTTGATCGCACGTGTGTACATCTCCACCGCATCGGAGAACTGCTTGTCAGCCAGGAGCTTGTTGCCCTCGCCCTTGAAGGCCTCAGCCTGCTCAGCCCACTCCTCAGTCATGTCGAATTGGAAGCTTGTGTACGAAGCTCACAATGCTAGAATTTTAGTCCTCGCATTTCTAAAATGTTGGTCTGTTTTTTTAATAATGACAGTTAGTAAAATACATGTAAATCTAGGTAAATTTACTCAAGTACTTTTTGTTGTATATAAAGTGATAGTTAGAAATTTTCACATAGTTTTTTTTACAATTTTCCTGCAACTCTGGATATTACGAAAGTAGGTTGAATTTGCAAGTTGCTTTATGGAAATACTGTGGTCGCATCATTCCCAGCCAAACGACTATGGAGCCTTGTGTAGTCAACGCTAAACTGCAACTCGTCCGTGTTTTCGGTGGCCTCGCTTACAGCTCCAGAAAAAACACCCAACGCATTTTTTCATCACTCCATGTATTTGTCCTCTGGCTGTCTCTTTCGTGGTCTTCGATGGCGTCGACACGTTTCGACAAAATGTTGAAGTGGAACACGTAAGCATGATGCAACATCGTCAACTCCCGTAAATCCTCGACCGAAACATCGTCCGAAATCACATTAGAGGCTGAAATGACGAAGTACACGACAACGTCATCAGGAATGTGCTGCAGTATATTCTCCACGGTGTCGCTCGAATGTATGAACTGGATCGATACATCAGGACATATGCGGATCTGGCCAGTGCTGTTCCGAATGAGCTTCCCAATATTCAGCGGCATGTCAAGCAGAAAGTCTGGCCATTCCATACCAACCTTGGCCAAATATGGGATGGTTACGTTCAGACATGGAATCTCAGCCCAGATGCTTGGATTGAGCAGAGTTATAACGCCGAGTTCAAACATCAAGCACGACAAGAACTTTTTAAACGCAATTTCAGCATACCCGTCTCTGTGACTCGCCAACACAATCGCCCCAACGACCAGATCCTCTAGGAGGAACCTATTCTTCATCGACAAATTAGAGCTAAAATCCTTGAACATCGGTGTTTCATCTTTCACAGCATTTAGAAGAGCCTCACGAAACGGCTCTGGTTCAAGCTCGTAGTTTTCGAACGGGTGGAAACGTTGACCACCCATGAGGCAAAGATACAACAGCAGATCCTTTTCCATCGGTGGGAACATCGATTCGCAATTCCATGTTTCAACGCTCTCTTTGAGTATCTCAAACCGTGATTTGGTACATACAGACACTTTTTTGTTGACTCGTTTGTTTCGTCTCGCTCTTTTCCTCCGTTTAAGTGGTTCAATTTGAGAGCGCGCATAGCTTAACTGGAACGGTTTTGCTTCCACCGTCCCCGCGAAATGTCCAAAAATGAGCCGAAACTTGCTATCGTTAATGTGTTCGCTCGGTAGAAAAAGGCAGACTTGACCAATACGAAACCACCAAGGATTTTTCAATCGAGCAAATTCACGTCCCAGCGTGTCGACCATTTCATTCATGCACTTGACCAGGTTTTCACTCCCGATCAAGCAGTTCTCTCTCACGTATTCAAACATCTTTGTCGCGAACAACGGTCTGCTGTGATTCGCGATCACTTTAAACTCGTCGCGCATCTCATGATTCAAAGGGGTCTAAAACGTATCCAGCAGCGGATACACAATACACCAGTATGAATCTTCGCAGTCGCGAGATATGACCTCGTTCGTTACGATGTTTCTCAAAACCCCAGTTACCGAACTCTGAATAACGACGAAGTTAAATGAGCGAAGGACGTTGCACATGAACACGACGTACGGCGTCAAGTCGCTAGTTACTGGATCCTCCACGAACGGCATTTCATCCAGAAAAAAAACTAGTATTTTGGTTTGGTTTTGGCGAGCTGCCAAGGCATCATAAACCTCCCGACGGGTTCGTGGGCCACGCATCGTTTTGCTCCCTGTCAAAACCGAATATAGGAACCCATACGAATGGAGAGACGACTTCATCGAAATGTCCGACATTCCAGCGCTGCGAACTAGCTTCAAATCTTTTTCCACACAAATGCCATACGTCGCGGAGCGAGCAATGAACGCACTATACACTAATTTTTAAATTCCATCGGACTGTCCTTCTCGTAAACGATGTAGACCACGTCCAAGTCATCGCGTGCCATCAAGTTAAACGCCATTTAAGTTTTTCCTGCTCCTCTGGACCCCAGCAACGAGATATACGGGGTACGGTATTGAGCAGCCTCGACTGATGAATCGTATAATAAGCTCGTTCACGCTATCAGAGTCTTTAACCTCTCTCGATACGAAGCAGCGTAACGTTGATACGACTCGCTATCAACGACGTTTAATTCCGGATCGGTGTATATCATTGGTGCAAAATCCAAGTTGATCAATTTCGGGGCCACTACAAGAAATGTGAACGTGATCAGGCTCAAACTCCCCAAGCACGTTTCCAACTAACTCCATGGGATTCAAATGGTTTCCAAAGGACCTTTTCAACATGTCCACGTTTGGAGCTGATTGAGCCAGCACCCTTACCTCAGGGTCCGGAATAGGCAGCCACTGCCCTCCTCTCTTGGAAATAAAAAGTCGTTGCATGTGAGCTTTCCCCCCCCCGATATCTGTGTACTGGTAAGCCATTGGTCGCCAATCGTGTTTTTCAGCTCCTGAACACGGTCCGTCGTCTTGATAATCACAGGAAAAGGATCTTCGCCCCCGCCCACGACTAAACACCATAGCTCTAGCTCCTGTTCTACGTTCGGAGGTAAACGTGGTCTTCGCGTCATCTTGGAGCTTGGCGTATCTGCAGTTATTGTTACTATCACATGAATGTATTTCTCGCCAACAAGAGATTTAGGCAGCTCTGTATCGTTGAACAAGTTCCACAGCGTTTGATTCGGATGGAGAGCAGTGAAAGGAGATAAATCCATTGAGTCGTCTTTCCCTTCCATTAAAAGCTCCACCACCGGCGATGAGAGCCACTCCAAGCTGTCGTTTAATGCGATATGAATTTGTGCCTCCGTGTTTGTGTCGATACCGCACACATTCTTAAATGCATTGATAAGGTCTCCGACGTCGCCGGTTTCATCCACAGTCACCTCCACAGGGTCCATTTGCGCCCCCGCGGTTAAACAAATAAGTCGTATCTCTCCCATCTCAAAATGTGAAGTGACTTTTTGGCCCAGTCGCGAAAGAATTGATTTGACGAATTTCCATAATACAGTACTATATTTATTGTTATAGCCCTGGATAAGCAATTACAGTACAGGAATTGCTAACCAGGGCTGTAAAAATAAGTTTAGTGCTGTATTATGGAAATTCCTTTAAAAAAATGGGCCGAGTCAAATCAATTCTTTCGCGACTGGGCCAAAAAGTCACTTCACATTTTGAGATGGGAGAGATACGACTTATTTGTTGGGTAAACAATTACAGCCAGGGCTGTAAAAATAAATATATATCAGTTTAAACTAAGCGCACTGCGAACTTAAGATTCGCTATCTACGGCTGAAGGCTGTAAATCCGCGCGCTCAGGAGTTTTCTGATGGTCCTCTTGTAGACTGATACAGCCAGACCAAGTCGACTGTCTCCTTCTCGAATTCCACCTTTAGCTTCCAGGCGAGGTGGGTATAACCTATTGGATAGGATAAAA